TTTAGAATTTAGCAATGAGATTCGAATGGAATCAACCTCACAGTATTGAATGTTAGATGGCGTTTTTTTGTTGAAATCTTTTTGTTTTTGAACTTTTCTGTTGAACTCATTGGTTCGGATGACTCTTTTTGAATTCACGAATTTACTGAACCTTTTTATGTTTGGCTATCATCTTAAGCGTCTTCTTGAGAAACGTTTCAAAATCTTTGCCGAGTGCACTTGTATGCCTTTCACCGAATGCCATCTTCAACATCTTCACACTTTTACGTGATGTTTCACATGACGACAGACTTGCCAATAAACTGTTTTGACATATGAATATCATTTTGCCTGACTGAAAAAAAAAGAACTTATATTCATATTCATATATAGAAGTAATAGGCACTGAACAAATAAGGAATCTCATAAATGTAACTTTGAGCGTTATCATGATAATTCAAAAATTCGAATACTTTCGATAATTACTCGACAGCTCTATTAACAATAAGAACTATAAATATGTATGAAAATGATATGTTAAATTTTATAAAATGATGTAAGGTTGCATTTAAATGAAGCAGATTTGAACGTTATGATGAAACGACGACTGACATTGTTGAAGTAGTGTTGAAGTCTGGCCCACGACTTATCATCAAGCGTTTTTGTATCAGCAATGAGAAGACAAGCCGTCTCATTACTGATCCACGGATGATCACGTAACGCTTCTTTGGACAGATGAAATATGGTATAAGTGTCCGATGAAATCATTGTTGATAACGATGAGGCGATTCCGTTGAAGAGTTCGTTATTATCGCCCGTATATACGAGGATCTTAACAGTTTCATCTTCTCACATGCATTTAGAATGCATCGACAAAAACACATAGTTAAATAATGATAGAAGAGTACCGTGGGTGGCTTAGCCTGTGCTTTTTCAACTGGTGCGATACTATGAAAACGGCGACGTGTTGGCATGAATGACGGACGTCTGAATGATTCGGGTGAGAAGATGGGCACTCTGCTTAAATGCATCGACGGATGTTCAAATGCTGATGTGATTGGACTCAACGAATGTCTGCGAATACCTCAAATGTTCACTTTTTTCACATGTTTGTCTCGCAGCATGAGCCTCAGCTAAACTTGAACTCATCTCTGCGCCTGAACCTAATCCTAACTTTTACTCAACCGCAATCAAATATCCGTGCGTGATCAAGAGACGCGTGTAATTCAATGTTATACTACAACACTAATCATGGTGCGTTTCTCCAAACGAAAAGAAGTGTCGCTAGGAACTCTGCACGATGTAATTCTCCCATTTTTTCGACACGATGATCCATTCAAGTGGCAGGAAATGGAAATGAAAAGGAGGATTCATTGTAGGATGGATGCTACAGATTTTAAAAGTTTTTTCGAAGACCAATTATTCACAGAAGACTTTAATTCATGAAGTACAATTATGAATTATGAATGAAATGTTGTGTAATGTCTGATTGAAAGATAGTCTGAGTGCATGATGAGATGAGAAGATTATTGTATTGATTCATAAATAAGAAAGATGAGTTGCAAGTGGTGCAACGAAAATCCTTTTAAAAAAACACAAACTTTTGAGGGATGGATCAAGCGAGAAATCATCTCTCAAACGAGGCAACATACTGGAATGCCTTCTTTGCTGCAATATTTCCAATGCAGATCTCGGATAATCCTGAAATTAGCTATAAACCAATACTTATGCCTCATTCAGCTTCATTATTTCCTTTCAGTTGAGCGAGATTTTTCCGCAGCAGTGATATTATTACATAGTAAATGAATACTTTGAAATACCTCAAACAAACTCACGACAACAAATTAAAACAATACAAAAAAAGAACATAAAATTTTGACTTCGTATAATAACTAATAAGTTTCAATAAAGCCAATGCTAAGCCATCGATACAACGAACAGGATACATTAAATGATATTAGTTTGAGAACTATATATTTGAAAGGGGACACTGAATGGGACTCATGAAATCATCTTAATAAAATTCCGAAAACAAACTTCAAATTTGGAACAAACGAACCTGTGCTAAACTGAGATTAATTGGAACGGTTTTTTTGTGTCCTTGATTATCAATAAGTGTTAAAAGTTTAGTTGCTGTTGTTTGGGTGGCGTCTTCCAAATTCGAAATATTATTTTGTTTAGGTACAGAAGGAACTGTGCTTTTACTGTGGTTGCGTTCGTGAGCATCGCTTATCTCTTTAGCGTCCGCAACAAATTCACTTGATGAAAAGTTGTCGTCCATATTCTTTTCAGGTTGCACACTTTGCAACAACGAACACTGTTGCTTATCCAGACTGCTCACCTCTACAATGCACTATACATCAATTTGTATACGAATGCATTCATCACAAACAACATTATGTGTCGGTTGTTTTTTTTTTAATTTTGAACATCACATCATACTCTTATAACTTGAACGGATACACCACTTGACTATTGTTACTGTATTCACTGGAACATTAATTATTATCAGCAGTTCATCATGGCAGCAAAGTACTGAAATGAACCGCTTTCCGCTCGTGTCTTACTCTAACAATAAATGAATTCAAAACTGAATATATAATCGCATGTAGCATTATATATAAATATTATACAGATGACTTTTTATGCTTTATAGGGGAAGTTCATGCTCTCAATAATAATACCAAATAATCACATAAAAATAATGGCAATAGAAAAAAATAACATCAGTGACAACATCAGCATGACAATAATGAGTATATCAAATACTTATGTCGATTCAATCGCGGATATGCGAAAAAATGACTCGATAAGGATTCACTTTCATGGATAAAGTTTTGCGGAAAGCAGCTTTAATCAGTATGTGATAAACAGTTAAGAAACGAAAAAAGTGAATCACGCACATTAAAGAGCATTCAGTGAAGGAATTAATTGAAAACTTCTACGGTTTGTTGCGCAGAAAGAAACACTCAAATACAAATACTCAAATCGCAGACGAATGACGAAAACAGTGTGCTACGAGTCTCAAAAAATCAGCGTTCAAGCATGAATGTTTGACTGTTGGATTAGGCTTAAATTCAGGCGTATGATCAATTTCAGCTAATGTCCAGATTATGGTTTAGATGTGAATGAACGAACACCATGTGACCGGAAAATATGTGATGAAAATGCGTGTGACCGAAAAAAACAAACAAATTAAGGCTTTAACAGTTCCTTCAGTAGTCTGGACTGAAATACAATCAAAAAGAAATGATGACTGTTGACTGTGAGACGCAATACGATTACAATAAAACGACTTCAATAAAATTAAAATTTAAACACATTATATCATTCATCCCTCTACGAGCACTGATCACATTTCAACACAATCATCTTCAGACAGACACTTGAGAATAAACTTCGTTTGGCTGCCTTCTCCCTACGATTGCTCACTGATAAATTTTGTTTGTGTCGAAACTGCATATCACATCGAAGTTCGACAAAAATCTCAATCATTTCACAACTAAAACGAATTTAACCAAACTGTGATTGACGCATTCCTGTAAGTGATGAGCAGAATTCGCCAAACATCAAACTTTTCTCCAATGAAATAACTGGAAAAGTTTTGAGGATATTTTTCCGACTCAGATGAGCAAAAAACGAAAACGATTAAGCAATTGAAAAAAGATCGAATTATGAGGTGTTGAATGACACATCTGAGATCTATTATTATTATCATTATCATTATTATCATTACTATTATTATTACCATTATTATTATTATTAACTTAAATATAAAACTGACGACTGGATACACGATGAAAAAAGAAAAATGATGAACGAACACGTAAGAATCGAATGAAGAATACTCATTGCGATTATCGCATAACGCGACTCTATATCACAGCATTTTTTTGCAGTAATCACGGAGACTATTATAAGAAAAGCGATCTTAATCTTCATGGCAGAAGTATTGCTTTATACATAGATGAGACACGACGACAAAGACGTTACAAGAGAACTTCACTTGTTATAATCGCGCTATTCAATTATTTCTGAAAATTTTCTGAGTAATGGAATATGAAACATCATCGAACCTGCGAAATCCTCCTCTCGAACAGCCGTCGTTGTGAAACGTGATGACATATGTGATGATTGTTTTGATGAAAGTGTATTGCCCAGTTCAGTTATTGTTGAACAATTTTTATCACGTTCTTTCTCTTCTCTAAAATGAGATGATTTAAACATAATAGAAATGAAAGTCAACCGATTTCTCGTCGAGAAAGTATTTCATGAAAACCTAACAGCACTTCTCAACCACAGAAACGATGTGGTTTTCTTCCGTAAACCACTCACGAATGATAACATAAACTGATTTAGTAATATTGGTTAGGTTTGCTCAATTATTAAGCATTTTGCGAGACTCACAAGAAAAAAGACTGCCTGTTATGATGACTTCCGCATGTTACGATGTAAAATAAATGATAAGACAAATCAAAAATTTCAGACCATATTATTTACCAATCAAAATGGTATGGAAATTTTAACACATGAAACCTCAGCATATTTAGCGCTTTGCGCAAATTTCCGCATGTTATGATACAATTCAGTGTTATGAGATTTATTACTGGCTAATTCCAATTTAAGAAATTCAACAAACTGGATCACTCAACGAAAAAGCGATTTGTGAAGACGACACAAGGGTGAAAAAAGACAAAGCAGTAGCATGCAATTTAAAATTCAAATTGAAATCTTATTGGATTGTTATTTTGCGAAGAACAATGCGCACATGATAGCAAGTCCTCAACAAGAATCATATCAATAACGTATGTTCGTTACACAAAAGAACTTTTCTTCTTTTCAGCAAAATTTCATCTGAAGTCAATATTTATTATTACCAAATTTGTCATCACCAAAAACAAAGGGAGACATTCATTGATGGATTTGTCATTACTAAAAGGTATTTCTTCACAATCCAAACTGACACATTCTTTATGCATATTCACATCATTGAATGAACTGTGAGAGCATATTTTTGAATTATTTATCGAGAATTTCAGAAAAAAAAACCATTCGTTCGCTTATGCAAAACTGGATTCAGCACTACAAAGATACTCCATCTATGCGATAAAATATAAACCCATGAAAAAAAAAACACATTATGCGTTGTTTGTTCAGAAATTGAATCGACACTTGTAAACAAGCCAAAGATTATCGCAAACAATTCAACAACAAAGCATCAAGCTTCACAATCCGTAACAGCTGTTATCGCCTGCATTGTTGCGTTTATAATCAATTAACTAATTCGTACTAGAATCTCTGCATGTTTACCACCCAAGTAAATATGTACATGTAGTTGTCTATTGCTCCACATTCTCACGCTTACAGCTTTTCGTGAAAGAAGAATGCAAGCTATAGCGAAGTCGCTTCGAAACGTCACTTGTAAGGACCGTTGATATGAGTTTTAGTGTGAAATCGATCAAAATAAGTGATAAACGAAATTTGTAAATAAATCAAATGGTGCGAGACATATTTTCAACACCTTATTATTACCAAATTTGTCATTACCAAAAACAAACTCTACACTCACCCGCTGCTGTGTCCAATTTTTTTGAAACATTAATTTTTTGGATAAGCCAAGGATGAGACTAATTGTAAGAAAAGACGAGAAAGAACATGGTTTATTTATTTATTTGTTCATTAAAATAATACTGCATTTTAATTTTGCGCGAATTATCGACAAGAAAATTCAGTTCTGTATTAACAAGTCCAAGTTTCATTCGAGTTCCTCGGAAAGTGATAATACAGGAAAAGAATAGGAAAAAAAATAAACAAAAAAAGATGAAAAAGGAAAAAATAATTCCAAAAGTTACCGAAGAATGTCATCTGCAATTGACTGCTCTTCTAAGTCCTTCGCATCCGGAAGAGTGGCACTTGGTGAAATGCTCGCTGATACAGATACACATCTTCAAAAGCCAAAAAACTGGTTTGTTCCATTCGATTGAAATTGAATTCAGCTTTACGATAACATTCTCAAGCACACAAAATCGTTAACATTTTCACTGATTAATTGGCAGTTGCACTTAATCACGTTAACATGCTGCTCACACCACTCTCATATTTTTAGTAGTTTTTGAAATGAAATTCATAAATGATATTTTTTCACAGACAATAAATTCAAACATCATTAATCGAATTCAAATTCAGTATATGCTTCAACAAATTCGGTTCAATCTCTAACGTTATTCGTTGATTTCAAGAAATGATCGATGAAAACGAAATGTATTCACGACATAAAACAGCCCACTAAGAAATAAACTATTTATAAGGAATTTATTATTAATATGATATTGTGATGTTAGGTTTTATCCGTTCACTGAGAGGAACATGTAGAAAGATGCATATTTTCTCTTACATCTGATCAAAGAGTTGATAGATGCGAACACAAATTTGGGAAAAAAGTCAACAAAAAAAGTGATACAACATCAATCAATTGCATAGAAAAAAGTAATAAGTGAGATTAATGAAAATGAGAAGAATTTTGTCTCTGTAGTTACCTGGATTGAAGATTTGAATTAGAATTGCCATTTTGTGAGTGTTCCTTAAGATACTTAACAAACGATGATATTTGCTCAGAGACTGAATACGACAACGGTAAGAACGCAGACGGTGAACACATGCCATAATGCAATGATCCCATCAACGGATTCTGTTCTCTTGATCTGATGAAGTCATCTTTCGAATAATCTTTCAACTGAGGTACTCTTAAATAAAAATAACAATCAACAGTAAATACTACGATGGTTATGATGCTTGATAATGACCTTAATAACCACCAGCATAATAATATCGATTATTGGCATCATACTTTGAATTACAACAGCGAATATTCGTCAGTTGAATCAGGTTTTTTGATGAATGTCATATTCAGCGAACAATAACGTTAATCAATTCACTCGATAATGCATCATGAGAGCAAAGATGAATGAAATTTGAAAATAATACATGCAAAATATATCACAAATTGATTCAATTCTGACAGACGCCTAAATCATCCTTGAGCTGCACATCTGTTCTCTTGTCGGATCGACTCATTTTATTTTGTCAAATGATTTTTCAACAGTTCAATGGAAAACAACGTGATTAATCACGACTGTTTCAATCCTTCGTGTAACTTTGCAAAATTACGACGCAATATGCTTGAATCATTGCTTAGAATTAGTGCTGCCAGAGCGAACTTGTTGCCTTCGAAGGCATTTCAATGAAAATTGAAAAGATTAACCTATGGTACGAACAGTATGGTTGTATAGCCGAGCTGATATGAAGGGTCGTATCAGAATGATATTTGGATGAGAAACGATCGCACGCATTCGCTAGCGTTGTGGGTGTACTGTCAGCATCCTCTTTTGACTCATTCAAATACAAAAATTCGAGCAAGGTCAACGGCCGTTGGTCGCGATTCAAGGAATCTATGCTGCTCTGAACTGAAAGCTGATTTTTGCTTTCGTTGCTGATGGTTGCTATCACTTCACTTTTAGAAAGAATGAAAATTCGCAGATTATCGACACCACAGTTGGCTGGATTAGTGCTGAATATTGTTGAACGGGAAAGTATTCGAAGCTTAAGCGTAAGTATGAACACAACGCTAAAGCTTAAGCGAGAGCCTAGTTGTCAGCCTAAGATTAAGCCTAAAGTCTTTGTTTACGCCAGTTCGAATTGTTTAGCTGTCGATAGACATTTTTCCGCTGGATCCCATTTGCGTGGAAAATTTGTTCGAAATTGATTGATAAGCCAATGTTGCTAGATCATATCTATAAGAAAAAATGATGCAAATATGTAAACGTGCGATTTACCGAGTATCGATCCCCGGTCGTTTCGACTATTCGAAGGAGACGTGAACAGATACTCAGGTAGTTGTATGGCTGAAAAAGAATAAAATTGTTTTTGAGAAACAAAAAAAAACAAAATAAACACTATGAATGGTGGTGAATCATTGAAGTTTGTTGGATAAAATACTCATATTGATTTTCATGAATGATAATGTCGAAAAAGAAACGTTTTAAGAATTGCTGAAAATTAAATTAGGAATAACTGGATTATACTGCATATTCGCTACAGAGTTTCCAACAAGAAATTTTACAATCTTCAATCAAATGACTGCTCTTAAAGGTATATGCTTTTAAAGAGTGGTTCAAGGAATGAATAAATATTTAAGACAACAACAACGGCGACGTTGATAGTTTATCTATTCTGGTTGAGGTATAGGTGTAGTGAGTAATCAATCAATGCAGAGAATGAATAATTTCATTTATTTGATATATTATATTCATATTAATCTAGTACGAATCCTTGTCAATCTTATTATATTGGTACGAAAATCTTTCACACTTTCAAGTAATTCACACTCTCAGTTTCTGACCAGAACGAGCGTTCAGCTTCAAAACAAAATCGATTTCGCGTTTACCACCATAACTGACGGATAAGTCGCTCAGAGACATGCTATACAAAACCCATTGTTTGTGCACGCATTCGTCATAAGTTAAATCTACGAATATTTCATTTATGATTATTCACCATCCACTTCTGGCAGAACGAACGCTTCACGGTAGTATTCACACAAGAACCAAATTTAATTTGAATCTCGTGTCAAGCAACTACTTCGTAACATCAAGCATCCCGTTTTATGCATACTAAAGTCATGCTCGTTAGGCTCTATATCAAGAAGTGAAGCAAAACACTAATCTTATGTTGTTGACAGAAGATTAATTGTGTTGTACGGAAAATCACGGTAACGTTCAACGTTTCGGCGTTACACCAACTTCAGGAACATCTTTTTTGAATTGCAAAAGACGTTCCTGAAGGTGATATAATGCCAAAACATTGAACATCCCCGTGACATTTCTTACTACGCAGGTAATCTTTTTGTTTTGGTTTACCTATTATCGCCATACATATTATAAACGAGGAAAGTTTTCGGCAATTTAATTGAAAAGTAATACGCGAAAAGAGGCGCATCCTCATATCTTCAGTCACCATCAGCGAAATGAAAATGACTCAAATTTAGATGGAATTTTGGAAGCGAGCATTACAGAAGCGACAGTTATATTGATATGCTGCTTTCACATTCTTAAACAGGAAAGGGAAAGTAGCACTGCATGACACTGCATTCGATCAAAATTTTGCTTCAATTCATTACCATCTATAATATCTCCTCAAGTAATAGCAACTGCATGAATGATGACTACTATTAAAGATGAACGTGGGGCTTTTAAATGCACTGATAAACAACATCGTCTCTAGAATGACGAATGTGCTTATCAAGGCAACTCCATACATTTATTTCACTATTCTTGCAGCAAACAATTCTCACCACATTCAAGGAAAATGAACTGAACCGATCATTGAACGCCATGTAATGCAAAGCGCTACATGGCGATATATCGCAAGATTTAATATCGAAACCTGACAACGTTCGTAGAATAAAATTATTCATGCAACAAGAAAGGACTTTTATGCGGTTAATACCGCACATTTTCAACACATTCACTCTCCTTTAGCTGACTGATAGTGAATATTGCCGATCGTGACTATAAGATAATAGCAAGCTCAGAGGAGATACTTTTCCAAGAATGTTCACAGTATATCGCATCGAAAACACAGCATTATTTCGTAGCCATTGAATTCAGAGTAAGAAAACAATAATGAAATTTTCGTTTGGAAAGCCTACGAAAACGAACATATGATTCATGAAATTAGCCAATAAAACAACTTGCGATTGATTCAGTTTCTGCCTATTCGCTCAACTACATCGCATCTTAAAATGACAATTGCCATCATGATTCGAATTTTCTAGGTTTGTGCATTCGATGGATCAATACCAGATTCAAAAATATTCCTCAATTATTGCCACAATGTAATACTGTGAATCTAATTCGATTCGATGAAAACATAATTGTTTCATGTTCCTTAAACACGATTACGGGAATGGAAAGTGCTTAATATTTGATCTACTGATTTGATGAATCTGTGAGATGTCATTATTATGGAATGACGAATTGAAAATGGGAAGAAACGTTTCACTGAACAATCATCTATAATTTATGGGTTTTGAATCTTTTTTAGATGAACAACCATATGAATTTTTTCACAAGCACACAGCAATTTCTTGGTAATAACTGATTTGATACATGCTTACAATACGGTCTTAAGGTATGCCGGTCTTCAGAAATGATAATGAAAAGATGTGTTAACCACTGAGGGAGGGCTTGAATAGGCTTGAATGTACAATTTGAATTGGTTGTTCGCTGATGAACAACAATTAGATTTATATTCAAATTCATCAGCACCACAGTGAACACTTCAACAAAAAACAGGCAAACTTATTGATAAATAGAATATCAAACGGATTGTGATCAACAAGCTGAATTAAGTTAAAAAAACGTTAACTCTGAACATACATATGCACCAATCGATACTTGGAACTAGACAAACACCATTGAGTTGACCAGGAAAAAAACGTTATAAAATTATTCTCCAACAAGAGACACTTAAATTGCTCGTTCACTCGCCTATTTCTTGTTCACATCTTTTCAGACGAAAATAAGCTAAAATTATGCCATAAAACTCAATTATTACATTTCTCCCCTGAGTAAATGTTGACAGCAAACTGAATATTACACGGTAACTAGTTCATTTCATCAAAATGAAATGACTTTCTAATGTCAGCCACAGATTTCAAACACAGTATCATCAGGCATGAAACGGAACGTTATCGATTAGAACAGCGGTTTGCGGGTTTTTGGGATGAGAGGAGAAGAGTTGGCAGTGTGACTGCAAGAAGTTGCTGACTGTTTTGAGTCCTTCAAAAGTAACAGAATATAGCGGGAGGGGAAGGAGGAATGATGCTCTGCAATACGGCCAAAGTGAGCCGTGAAAGGCTTCAGTGGTACTTGGAAGCCACACGACTGGAGAAACATAAATATTCGGACAAAGATTATGAAAAATAAAATGCAGGTGGCATGAATTGAGGACCAGTAGATGGATAAATGTATATTTAGTGAAATAAAATATGAAACTGAATCGAACAAATATAATTACTGATCGAACGAATATATAATTACACATAAAAGCGAAGGAATTGGACTCAAATGCTGAAGAAAAAAAAAAGACGGCAACCAAGACAAGAGGAAATCGAACTGGTGATATTTTAACTTGAATAACACAAACCAAGATCGAATTAAACGAAAAAAAATGTACTTTATATTTGAGTTCAATACTCAAACAAAAAAGTGTTCGGAAACGGTTGATAGAATTTAGTTTAAAACAAAATAAAAACCTACTCTGAATAGTCTTTACAGTTGCTTTTCCATTTGAATCAAGCAAAACGCCTTCTGACCAAGCGAATACAATATTATAGAATTCATCCAAGTCGCAATCATATATAGTAGTCCATGGATGTCTTCCACGATTAATAGCAATTTTTCGACCTACACGATCCACCTAATCGAGAAGATACATGAAGTGGTATTATTGCTTGTAAAGTACAGAATGAATGTTTCATGAAATATAAACGAATGGTTAATAAGCAGATGTATGCAGACGGCTTGATCGTTTTATTAGGATTAAGAGGTAGTGAATGGTAAATAAGTAAGCAATAGATAACAGTCATTAATTGTGAGTGTGTGCTTATGCTAATGAGCCATTATTGACGAAATATGCAAACAGCTGTAGTTTTTGCTGCTCAGAAGTGAAAGGAAACTGTAATTGATTCAAATCTTCTGTGGAGTTCTGATAGCTGAAATAGTATCAAGCACATAATTTTAGGCATAAACAGCAAACGACAAATGAACAAGGCAATAATTTTATCTTGAAAAAATATTATCACAATCGTTTGAGTGGATGATGATAAATAAACGAAGAAAAGCAAAAGTAAAGCGGTGAAACATACATGAAGGGCTTCAAGTTGAGAGTAGCTCCTAAACGTTTCATCCGGCGTTAATCGATCATTCTCTTGATTTCTAATCGTACTAGATGATCCAATGTCGTCCTCTTGTCTCAATTCATCAGCAGATATTGTTCCAGTAGCAGTTCCCTTCGGTGGTGACAGTAAGCATACAGGTCCCAATGTTACAACAAACGTTATCCGTGGCGTTCGCGACAGTAATGGCTTTGAAATTATGAACCAATCGTCTATTTGAAATGCCTGCTTCTAGAAAATATTCATTCATTTATTACAACAAACAACCCATCCAGATACTGAGGCCCGTGGCTACGGAGCAGGGGTTTAGCCCTTATATTCTCAATTAGTCTCTCCCTCTCCCTCCCTTAAAAATTTTTCCCATATTCAATACTTTGGAGTAATAAATATAATGCTCCACATCACCATTCACCATGAAAACTCAAACAAGACAATCTTTATAAGTGGGTGGAGCTGTGAGCATTTTCCTTCCTCGGTATGTTAGCACCCAAAAAATTAGAATAGACCCCAGCCCCCCCCCCCCCCCCCCTCCCCAAATAAAAGGATTAAATTAGTCCCGAGATTTCACGTTCTGGCTACGGACCCGAACATAGTAATTAATCATATCAAATATTATACCATACAAATACAAAAGATATGTTATGTATTTTCGTACTTTTAGCAGATATAACTTCAATTCTTCATTCAGAGATAATCAACGACTTTTGGAGAACATAACACAAATTTCATAAAAGACGAACAATTGCGTCGTTAAAATAATTACTGAATAATTCTAATGAGTGTAAGCAGCACTTATGCAATTCAATACTGACGACGATAATCATAAAATAGATAACATACCGATCTCGGTCTTACGAGAATCTCAACTTCATCGTTTCGATACAGTAATGAACATTCGTTTATGTGAGCAATCGTCGGTTCACTGGAAAATCTGCACAACGATGCGCGCGGTCCACCAACACCCAATGCATTCCCCCCTCTTAAAGCTTTATGGTATTATCGAATCATATTCATTCTAATTAAATAATCACTTTCAATAAGTTATTATTTTAATCATTTCGAGCATTCAGCTGTTACACAAAAATAAAGTGTTCATTTTTTTAAGGGAATTGCAAATCGTAATCAATTGCTCAGCTAATTGACTGCGGTGCACCTAACACTACCACATGATTTTAAAAAGATTAGTGGTACGATAAGGACAGAAGTGTAGAAACGACAAGGACACAAGAATATGAATCTATAATGAAGCATAACCTCTCAAGAAATTTAGTTCGAAGATTGAAGTTGATAATGTGGCGACACAAAAGCATAGTATCGTGGTGACGAGGCGAGAAGAAGTAACCCGACAGGATCTTTATGAGTCGCTGTTTACGTGCGTAATGCACTGCCGACAACACTAATGACCACACAAAAAATATCATCAAGCACTAACCTATAAATATTTTCTAGTGCCCATGTATTTCAACTGATCAAACACTTTTCAGTTTATTCATTCATTTATGTTATCCCTTTATTATCTTGTGTTTTTTGTTTAAGAAACTGGGGAATATGATTCTCTCGAGTTATCGAAAATAGGAGAAGAATCTGTTAAAGAGAGTTATCAGATAATGTAAATGTAATTTGTCTATGATGAAATTGCAAATAATGATGACAATTATTGTGAACAGTTTTGATATTATTATTGTGGCGATGGCAGCAGTGTCACAGTTATAAACACCAAAACCCCTCATGATTTGTATTTCAGTTTCGTTGATTTCAGTTCATCAGACTCTCACTCGGTTGAAATGTTTACTTCGAGCAGTAAAATGGATGGATATTCTGGATCCTATGAGACCTACCCGTCACTCTCTGTTTTTTGATGTGATCAATCGATGAAAAATATTGAACTATGAAAATCAACTTTTTGTTATTCTTAACGAAACAATTTTTGTGCAATTAGAATGAAATGAAATGATTGGAATGACATGATGAAGATTCGGTAATACGTTTTTATATAGGCGATTCAGCATGAACATTAATGCTTCAGTTGAAGTTCTAAAGTGCAGTAATAATAACAGAAAAAGATTATCAACTTTACCATACCATTATCAGATTGTTCGTATCAATGATTCAGTGAAGTTTTATCATCAAAACGAAGAGTTTTCTTTGTTTCTGAGTGATTCAAATGGGCAAACACAATGATTATAGAGAATAGAACAAGAACTGAATACACGATAAATATAAAATTCAATCGATTTTACAAAGATTTTTTTCAGTCGACTGTTTAATGTCGAACGATCAAAAGAAGAACGAAAGCAAGAGTCACACCAAGAAAAAATCAATCTTAATTATGATATTCGGATGTACACAATTCATTCATCACCATAATGAATCACAATTTAGTAAAACATTTCAATTAATACCGTTAGTATTCACTGAAGCATTTATCACTTTCTACGTACATATGCACTATTCAATCCTTCAATTGAACAAGATCATGAAAATTTCAATAATTTAACAAAGCACAACGCGAAATGTTTGATATATCAAAATTGAATTATAATGCTTCGCGAAAATCATTCTACTCATTTATTTATTTACTCAGCTAATTAACATACATTTCACATGTAAGCCTCGTCAAGATCACTTCAATTATGAATGTTATCATATTTAATTGCTATTTTCATCCACGTTTGGGCCGCGATTTCGTATTCATTGTCTCGCCGTCCCATTTTCGGTCGACCCCGATTTCTTTTTCCGATTCTAGGCTGTCACTTTGGGCACCACTTCGCCTAGTTGTTATTGTTCATTAGCGCTGTTTTTCTTGGCCAGTTAATTTTCCTTTCCTTAGCACATTTTACAAAGTCCTTAACTTTCTCAACCACTCATTCGATTTCCTGTCCCATAATGTCACCCTTACCATCATCCTCCCCATCCTTCTTTGTGCTATTCACATCATATTTTCCATCCTATTTGTCACCGTCCATGTTTTTGATCCGTGTAACACACATACGTCGTTTCAAAGCCGTACCAACCCATCTGTCAGTGCAAAATTCCTTACATTCGTAGAGTGATTCCCTTTCGATTTTTACTCTTCTTCTTACTTCGGCTTTCCCCTCCCTTTCCACTGATATGAGCTAGCCGAGGCGCATGAACTCGCCGACTTCTTCGACAAAATTTCCGTTGACAGTGAGCGGTAATCCAACTATACGGTTTGTCATGATCTTCGTTTTGGTGACGTTGGCCTTCAATCCAATTTTGCTACTTCACCGAATGAGATCTTTTAGCATCGTCCTTATTTATTTGCAATTGTGTGCAATTAGGACAATATCATAAGCAAATTTGAGATTGTTTAACCTGACAAAATCAAAAGAACTTCAAAATCAAAAATTAAAAAATTTCACTTTTGCATGTAAAACACTGGTGATAACTATGTAAAAGCCGCATTATGGTGACTGATAGAAAGATACAATTACAATGACTGCAATGGCTCTGTGCACGTATGCCATCAACATTTTTTTCAGAACGTTTTGTCGTTATTGGACAAGCATTTTCAAGAGTCAGTCATTCGATTCCACCAACGAATAAATGAAAATGGATGTAAACGCGTTGAGATAAAAACCGTGGAGGAGTGGCCAGAAAGAGATATGAGGAGAATGATTATGCGAAAGACGAGATCTTTGAGAAATGAAACGAAAAATCAACCAGAAAAATATCTCAGAAGGAAATACCATCGACGCTTCAAACTGCTCAAAATCACCATCCTAGTATGCATGAACGCAAATTTTGCAACAAGCTTCAATGATGCTTCAGATTTGGAAGTTTATTTCTTCAGCGATCTGGCACAGTTATGTCCACAAAAGAAGGAATATTCACAAAGAATTAATTCCAACGGAAGAAAAGGCAAATCATCTTACGAGAAGTGGCTTCGAGACGAAACGATAACGTCACGAATAATTCGCTAGAATGCCATTATCATCATTTCGGTTTGACACATCAGCAACTATCCTTACAGTTGCCACCTAAGTATGCAAAAGTATTAACGGTTTATTGCGGTTAATTATGTTTGAAAAGTTAATTTTTGTGCTTCAGCATCGGGTATGAAAAGTATTTTTAGCGCAGAATACAAAAACTAAACAATAATGGTGATAAGCAATTGTTGCCATGCACCTTATGCACTTACACAAAACGTCAATCTGTAGAAATATTTTTATTGCATAAAAAGTTATGGTGTTATGATGCGATCACGGCACACGTTTGAACAGAACTGAAAGAAACGTCTAAAAGTGGCGATTATCCTTGAAAATAATGAACGAAAATGGAAAGAAAATGCACAAAAAAAACGATTTGTTCAGTCATCGTCATGAAACATGACGATAACAAAACCGCGGACAACAGTGCAATGATCAATACTCACATGCGTATCGCATTCATTCCATCCCGTATCTTCTGCATTTCTTTATTCATTGATTTTGCTAATAAAACACGCCCATGTTCATTCATTCCATCGTGCATGCCATCAATCGCGAGCAACAATGCATTGTGCACTTTCAAATTTAAGCAAATCCAAAAAATTGTACGTACTGATGAAATTTTGAGAATTTCACCTCGTGAATTTTTGTTTGCAATAGTGAACGTGAGCGTAAGTGTATACGGCAAAAGAGTAGTTGTTGAGAAATGAAGAATTGTATTTGAAGGGCCTACGAACACTGTGGTTCAATTCGAATATAGTCAACAAGTAGTTATTTTCAGTGTTTTTGGTTGGAAAGTGAACGAATTGAAACGCTGAACATCGCTGGTAACAGCTGTCTTTTGAGTGAGTGCGTACTGAAATTTGTTGAGATTGCTGAGTGCATAATTTGTGCAGTGAACAACAAACTGTTTTGAGACTGAAATTTTCTTGAGCAAAAAACGTAAAAATGAGATGATGTTTGATCAAGAGAGCATCTTAAAACAAACACACAAATCAATATGTTACTGTTATCAACGCAAACACACACATATCTTGACGTCATCATCATCGATCACAACCAACATTCTGTGCTCATTGCACATCCGCTTGAAATATCGTTCAAGTGCGTAGATTTTTAATTTGTTCACCATAACAACGGATGACGATCGCAGAAGAAAAGGTTGATGGCTTGACGTTACATTTCGTCAGCAACGTAACATTCCAACTCACATGTGCACGATAGCACCAAATGCTTCCAAGTGGACGAATACGCAAGGAAATCAAAGTGAATGCAAAAAGAGAACGGTACTCATCTCCAGCTTATCGCGCTGCTGCACTGAGTATGAATGGTTTTTTTTCCGTAGCGTTGCATTCTGAATAAACGCAATGCAAAATGATCAGTCCAATACAAGAGCAAAAATAGCTTGTACTCATTTCGCAGTAATTAAATTAGTTCCATTTTAAAAACTTTTAAAACTATTGAATTCAATCGAGCATTGATGAAATTTGCTGATCAATCAAACGACAAGCAGTCAGATACATTTACACTCAAATAGATAATTGTTACTGGCTTCACCATAGAGAAATTTATTTCGCATGAACAATGTGATCATACACAAATAACAAACATATTGCAAGTAAAAAAAGAATATTGATGAGCTATCCGGCTAAGAATATAAACTACGTTTCACTCGCATCAAATCGCACGCTCGTCTGAAAATAAATAACGTATAAATTCTCATTCATAAAACAAAAGAATTTCTTTGTAAGTAAGAATTGTATTGCAGTTGAGTTGGTGGTGTTGAACTGCATATTTGAAAAAGTTGAGAGGAAAAACTTAAAAGATCACTCACCTAACAAAAATATGGCATCCACTAGGTATCGAACTGATCGTGTTGCTTGAACAAAAGATTGTGACACCCTGCCATTGAGTATTCAAATTACCCGTTATTAAAGACCAGTCACCGAAATCCACATTCGTGAAAGCACTCAATCGATTCAGCATTGCGATGATTTCGTTTGGGGTCATTTCAATATGCTCTGAGAAGCACGTCACGCAAAGACATTGGTAAAGCCTTTCGGCGTCTGCAACGATGTTTCTTTTACATCGATACAAAAACACAAATCTGGCACTGAATTTGCTCTTAAACTCTTATTATTTGAGCGCAACTGATGCGATGTGTTTGGTGGAGGGTGATTGGTGCAGCAACGTTTTATGTGCAAACAACACACTATTTCATCTACTTAAATCTCAAATATTTACTCAGTTCTATTCGTTTTCATTCTACTCATCGTCAGAAAACTGAATTTTAAAGTGTCCAGTAACAAAAGCACTGAAAAATGATCATTAGATGCAATCTTATATCACTTTTACACATTCATACAGTCTTGAGTCAAATAACGACCCATCACCTAGGTTCACCTTGGTTCTTTCAATTTCATCGCTGAGACATTCACATCAGCCTTAAACAACCGATTCATTAATTACTTATGGATGCAGCTTCTATATTCGAGACAATAACAGTGAACGGGGATTTACAAATCGACGACACCTACCAAATAATAATTTCAACAGTAAAATTAAAAGTATTGTTAACCTTCCATATTAATATCGGTGATGTTTCTGAGGTATAAACTTCGAATTGGTAAGAATATAGGAAACGAAAATAGTGCATTATGAATGCAAGACTTGGGTAATGCGATACGAAGCGATGAATTCAAATTACTGGTATATGTGGGCGGATCATCAATAAGCTTACACTCAACCACTAGTTCCAAACATCCATCTAGTAATACACCACTTTGGCATGCGCTAACCACAAGCCGTTCACTTTCACACCTAAAAATTTGTCGATTTTCATTCAAATGCACTCGTTTAACGAACTAAAAAATATCAACAAGGTGTAAATAAGTCCGAAAGTAACACCTAAATTTATCATCCAGATACTCTAGATTTATTATCATTCAATCAACTTTTAGAAGCACAAAAAGTTGGCTGATGACGTTTTGAGGGAATTTCAAATTGAAAATCTGATGAACGTTACGGTATAAATTTGGTAACATTGAGTGAATCGAATATCGTTGTGTTTGTGTCGAGAAATGGCGATGCTGCCGACTCGCTTACAAACTGACAATTCACAGTGCTGCAATAAGTTTGTTTTTCGAGAGTATCTGATTGTAAGAGCAGCATTCGATCGAATGTGATCGTGTGCATAATTCGCATTTGACAGCTTGAGGGTTGCTTACATAAGAATGGTACGATTATTGGTTCGGGTTGTATAGATGCAACAAGTAGATATGGGCACATTATATAAGAACAGAAACGATCGAATTAGATTGTTGTAGTCCCATTGGAATGAACAGTAAAGACATTTATTTGGAATCAACCGCACACGAAATGAGCAAACCGATCATCGAAATTCGAAAGTATTCGCAAAATTTTTTCGATTTTTTCATTCATTCCAAACAAGCTTTTAGGTGCAGAAATGTGAACACATTCACAAATTTCCAACACTGATTGAATATATACTTAATGAATTGATAACATACTAAAATATATAGCTTAATTTAAATGATAGTCATTACTTTATATATAATCAGTGTATATATATATATATATATATATATATATA